AGTTATCTCAACGTTTTTAACCTGTACTTCACTCTATCACTAATAATCTAAGAAGATTAATAGTCAAACATTTTCAGCTACTACTCTCCCTGTTTACATAGCTCTAGAGTCTGTCTCCCCCATGGAAGCAGGCATTGGCAGCATCTACAAGGAACCCCGGGGGGATTTCTGTGCTTCACTTTAATGATTAACCTTTAAGTGTAAGATTTGCAACTTGATTTGAATATTAAAAAGCTAACACACAACCATTGTTAAAACGAGCAAACAAAAGCACGGGGGTTTTTTTAAGCGTCAATTTACATCTCTTGCAGGACTCCTCAGACACTCCACTCCTCATTCACTTGCGCTGCTCACATTAATAAACAAGACTTTGACACCACTTAGACTGCTTACTACACGTTGTTAAGCAACAAATTAATTTTTTTCCTGGATCTCCACAGTTAAACCATTCAGAAATAATTACTATTAATCAGACTATTATCTCAAAAGTGAGATGCTGGTATTTACTGGGGCACACAAGCAGCATTTTTCAGAAAACCCAGTTTGTCAAAGTCACTTACCGCATTGATCTCTGGACCCTGGACATATTATTTTTTGCTGCACACACAGGATAAGGCAATATTATGAAAGAAACATCACACCGCTCAGACTATTAGATAGCAAAGCAGCAGCATTTGCAAACTTAAGATTTCCTGTTGTGCTTTACAAGATCAAGAGCCGTACGTATTTTATCAGTACCACTATGTCCTCAAATGAGCAAGAAAAACAACTGCTTGCATTCCTTTAATGGTCCTTTATACAAGTTCAAAGCTTCAAAACTGCATTTGTACCTCTATCCACATTTTTTGCATGCTGCAGTTTTTACCAGAATATTCTGACGTTGCGCTGTTCTACCAACCAAACTACAGGGAAATGAGGCACAATATTGCTCTGCCAAAACCGTAACAAACCAGTGCCTTAAAACAGGATATTAAACAACATACGCATTTTAATTTCCTTAATCTTTCAGGACATCATATAGACACAGTCCACAGGAAGTTTACATAGTTCTACAGTTAAAATAGTCATTAAGACACTTCAGAAGAAAAATCTTATATATGACAATGGACCACCAGCCTGTCTTCCCTGCATGGCACCACTTAAACTGTATTTATGGGCTAAGCTTCATTCATCATAAAACATCTTGAAAGGAAAACAATCATGTGGAAATCTCAGGCACACCCTTCGGAGTTCAATGGGCTTTACCTGGACAAATAAACATTAAAGCTCAGGTTGCTCTTGAAATCACAAACCAGAATTACGCGCTAATGATGTTACACCAGAGTTTGCCATGTATTTAAACCTGCACTGTTGAAAAAAAAATTATTTTCCTTTTCCATGCAGTATTAGCAGACAAAAATTTCATCTGGATCACTCCCCCAAACCTGGTTCACAACGCAGCTGCACAAATGTTTGTGCCAGCAAGGAGGGAGGGTAGAGAAGTGACGAAGAATGGGTATGAGCAGCAAGAAGGGGACAGCTTTTCAGCAGTAGTGCCAGCTTAAATGCATGTCAAACTATGGCTTTAGGCACAAATTCTAAGAAGTCATTCACTTTGTAACTAAATAGCCTTAATCATAACCAAAAACATTAATAAAAAGCACAGAATCTGTAACAGAAAAGGTGAAGATTTCAAATGACTGAAAAGGATTACATTTATTTTTCCAAGTTTAATGAAGAATTCTAGGGATTGTATAAACTTTGGGAAAATAAATTAACATCAGCCTTGCACAAAAGATCATCAGTAAGTACTCTCGGTCTCTATAAATACCTCAGAGAATGCAAATTACGATAGCGGCAGGAACAGAGTATCATCTTAGCGATCACCTCTATCATAAAACCTTGTATTCAAGCTTGCTTACTGTTGCAACTAAATATTCAGTTACTAGGAGTCATCGTAAGACACTAATTTGCATATAACACTCAAAGTGTATTTGAATAACAATTCCCAAGTTGGAAATTCCATTTCAAGCAACGCAGGCTATAAGCAACAGACACGTTTGCCCCATTGCTGCAGACAAGCATTCCCTCCAGTGCCGAGAGCACTCGCCACCGTAACTTTCATAGGAGCACCCAGCACCTCAACAGGCCTCACAAGCAACTCGACTTGAGTGAAATCTCTTCCAGGTAATTTAAAACCTGACTTCTCAAACTATGAAGAATACAGAAGACTATCAATCCTTTCTAAAGATGAGAGGGTTCCTTTTGCTTTCTGCAAATTCTGGAGGTAAGGTGTGGGGTTTTTTCTCAGCTGGAAAATACTATAGTGACATTTTAAGTAATGTTCTTGTTGCTTCTGTATCTGAATAGCACAATAAAGCACCATATTAAGAGATGCCCCTCCCAATTTAGCAAGCTGCTACATTTACATGTGCAGTACAACGCTGTACACAGACGCAAGCTCAAGTTTCGAAAACAGAGAAGGCACATCAGCCCCGCGCTGAGCTGGAGGTGGTGTATCGGGACTCCTTCCAGCTCTACAGCCCATCCACAGATCTCTCCGCATTGCATTCAGCCACATGGTAGACATAACCTCAGGAGCCCAAGCTAAATGTCCCTCCACTGCTGCACATAACAGTCCAAGTAAGAACAAATAAGTGGTAAGGGAAAGGGAAGCATCCTAGGTTTCAAATAAGAAATAGCGTTATAGAGAAACAGCTTGTGGCATTCAGTCCCTGAAAGCAGGCAGCATCAGCTGTCTCAGAATTAGGTACAGAAAAACCGACACGGGACTACAGGAGCATAACGTGCTGAAGAAGGGAAAACGCAGAAGGAGAGTCGTCTCTCAATTCCACCGGTATACTTCCCGGCATATTAAGGTGGTGTTCAGCATTATGCATAAACAAATGTTTTCCCCTCTTATTTAACAGGTAAAACACCCACACTAACTCTTGGCCTAATCAACAGCCCTGACATCAAGCTTGACAAGTTATATACACGCCAAAAACTGTCAACAAGAAATACATTTAGAATTCCACATGTATCATTGGACTTCCCCTTGCTTTTTTTAAATATAGCAGATTACCCAGTATGGTTTTTATCTTCTCTGCCCTGCTATTTTCTTTAATCACATACCTCAAAATTGTCTCCAACGCTAACACACATAATATTTTGCCATTTTCAGGCATAGCATCCATTCCAATAATTATACTTTCAATGTTATTTTGGCTTATTACTTCACACACTGAGATGAATTTTCACAGACCTTCCATCAACACTGCCTGGTCTTCCCCCATCTCTTCCCCATTAGGCAGCCAGAGTTAACCAGCCAATATATATAAATTGTAGTGATTTCCTTCCAGCAAGAATTGCCTTTCGTGTATTAAACACGTAGGTCAGCGGAAGACTCTTTCTTTTTATCAAGGGCCTTTGAGATCCTCCTGTTCCTCCAAACACGACGTCTGCTGTTTCATTGCTAGTGATTTGGTAAAGTTTCTGCTTTTCCCAAAATCATGTATTTATGACCAGGGCACAGTCCACCAGCTCTAACAACAAACTGTGATTATGCAACAGTATTTTCCTCACATGGCAAATTTCTGCTGTGACTACTAGGTGATTCAGCTTCACTTCACGGTTCCTTGTACAAACTCAAGCATATATCCAAACCCCAAGTATACGCTAAGTATTTTTACTTGCTGTTCTCTTCTAAGACTAAAAATAATTAAATAGTTTTGTTCTTGGGAAGTGCACCACTTCATTCCAACATTTTTTTCCAGGTATTTTAAAAAACAGCACTTATAAGCTCACTTCAAGTGAAATTTTTTACTCAGTTGAAGTCAAAGCAGTGAGGTTTTTTTTCTGCAAGATACAACATTCTTCAGCAGTGCTTCTATTTAAAACGGAGGGGAAAAAGAGGACCAGGGAGGTCATGGGCACACTGGGTCAAAGCTGCCACACTGAAAGCACTACAGATATTAACACTAATTACTTGTAACAGTTATTTTATAGGGACTACAGTTAGCTAAGAACAAAGATGACAAAAGTAACAGGAAAAACAGAAGTAATGAAATTAGCTGCCTATTTTGTAAGAGGAAACAGTGGGTACAGTGTAACATCAATGAAATCGAATATGCATTTATTCCTGGCACTGCATCCCTAAAACATTACGCGCCTTTCTGCAAAATTTGGCATCCTCAAGCCCCTTCATATTTTTGTAAACTACTCTGCTACTTCATCCTTGAATCTTCACAAAACTCAGACACATGTACCAGTCTCTAGGACTGGCCATAATTAAATAGTCTTTAGAGAAATTACAAGGGAAAAACTCAATATTTACATTTACTAAAACAGTGATAAACTTCTTTTCAGCTTAGGGTCCTCTTCATGCTAAGCACTGAAGAAACATGGAGAAATCCTGTCTTCTGCACCGTGGAGCTTACTGCTTATTTATGATGCCAGCTAGGCAGACGATCACAACGTATAGCTACTCTTCCGGCTAGCATCTGTACATCTCAAACAGAATCTGGAAAACCAACTGTGCTGGTCATGTATATGACAAAAACTTAAGTTTGTTTTGTTGTACTGGTCTTAAATAGATAACTGTATGATTCTGAATCATTTATAGACACTGCTTTCAACCTCAACCCTATCAGTCGGCTATGAAAGAGGAAGAAGATTCATTAAGCAGCGCTAAGGGCATAGCACGTTGCAAAACACATCCAATGTCTCATTCACCTTACAATCCATCAAGGGCGAGAAGGCAACCTCGCTGCGATGAGGAGGTCCCCACCAGAATCTCTGCCTAGCAAGTTGAGTCTTCTGCAATAGGATCTGTCTCACCTAACGTGTAGATATTTATACTATGGATGACTAATCTGAATTAGTCACCCAGACTCCCTTTGCAGTAGGAGAGAAATGAGCACTTCTACAGCAAAACTCATCTCTATTTCAGACTTCTCCACCAAAAGAAAATAAGCATCTGTTTCTCTCCATTGACTAAAAAAGGAATCCTAAATGATTACCTCAGATGTAGGCATTTACATCATAGATATGTGAACTTCGGTGAGAGGTCTCCAGCCCCTTGAAAGTGAAGGCAGAGTCTGAAACACAACGTTAAGGGGAAAAAAAGGGCTTAGAAAGTCATGGAAGAAAATTAAAAAGATAAAATTTAGGATATACCATGGACAATGTCATGTTAAAAAGTAATATAGTAAAGGACTGGGAGAATGCAGAAGTAGTAAAAAACAACTGACCACTAAGAAAAACAATCTTCCATATTAAAAAAAAAAAAGGATAACATGCAATAAAACTAGGTTGAAATCCATCATTTAGTATTTTCCAATTTGTTAAACAGAGTGCTGATTGAGCATCTGTTGACCATTAATCGGGTGCTCAGGAGCTGAGGTCCTGGGACTCTGAGGATGACCTGGATATTCTATTCAAGAGGCTTAGTTTGATTTAATCTAACATGGAACCATGGCTTTTTTGTTAACGCTGCTGCAGCCCCACTATTCCCAACCCCTTCACTTTTAAACTGTCCGGCAAACGTTCCAGCAGCGGCGCTCATCTGCTCCTACCATGCCCGTTAAATAAAATAAACCAGCAGAAAATGAAGAGGGGAAGGGGTGGTAGTCTTCTGACAGACTGGCTCCCTGTAAGTATGGGACCAGCACTGACGTAGAGGGACAAACCAGGAAGATGTTGCACTGCAAACTTACATTAGTCAAATTGAACCACACCCTATTTAAATCCAGGCGGCGAGAGACCTGCTCTTTTTACTCTTCTCCTTCCCGGGTCACACGTTCCTGCATCCACCCTTATATCAGCGCTGCTTATGCAACTACACATCCAGCTGGTTGAGGGAGCTGATCCAGCTGAAAACTACTCCCTCCAAGCAGGGTTAGCGTTCAGCCCGCTCAGCTCTCCGAGGCGGCATACCACACAATGCAAACGCCAACACATGGCAACCTGGACTCAGGCCCATTGATGTCGCTGTGGAACTGCGCCCTTAGTCCTCTGGCTCAGGGAGATGGGATACAGTTTTCAGCCTGTTAGCTTACAGTCTCAATTATCCCTCTAAAAAAAGAAGAAATCCCTCTTAACAGAAAAGAATTATATTAAATGGCATACCAGAGGATCTTCCGAAGGAAGAAAATTAAAAGTAAACAGCTAAAGAAACACAACCTTTCTCATCCCACCCTGCTGCATATGAAAGTAAGAAGCTGAAACAATCCGTAGGTTTTGCTAGATTATAAGGAATGAAAAAAAAGGAAGAAATTGCTACGCAGAAGAGAATCTAAGTTGCTTATCACAAAATGTCAAGGCATACCCATCATGCATTTTCTCAGCTAACATAATTCAGTCTACCATAGAAAAATCAAAGACAAAACTGAAACTGAAATATCTTGTATTCTATTTCCTTCTTCCTTCCTCGAGGTTGCAGCAAGAAAGACCATCTCCACTACTGTGATCTTCGCATTTTTTTGTCTTTCTCCCAGTAAGCAGTGCCAGTCTCTGCTTTGCTGCTATTGCTCCTAATTCTGCCAAACAAAATCAGAATCAAAGTGACTTAATAGTTATCAGTGTCATCTTGTATTCTATTTCCTTCTTCCTTCCTCGAGGTTGCAGCAAGAAAGACCATCTCCACTACTGTGTTCTTCGCATTTTTTTGTCTTTCTCCCAGTAAGCAGTGCCAGTCTCTGCTTGCTGCTATTGCTCCTAATTCTGCCAAACAAAATCAGAATCAAAGTGACTTAATAGTTATCAGTGTCACTGCAGGCCACAATGCTCTGAATAGCAGCAAACTGCAGAACTGAAATAAAACTAAAAAAAAAAAAAAGACAACTAGCATAGGCATACTGGAAAGAACAGCAGAAACATTTGCCAACTGAACACAAACCTTGAATTCAAGCAATCAATATGTTTGGCAAGTTTTCTTTGCAAACCACGTAGATTGCCTACCATGCCACCTACCAAAACAAAAGCTGGTGAAAGTTTCTTATTTTGCCTAGGTAAGGAAATAGTTCCAAGCTCTGTCTGTTTGGCTCAAATAACTTCTTGAACTTTGCCATTTAACCATAATGTTATTTTCTCATGCCTTCCGGTTTCCCCTTCTGTCCAGATAAGATTGTGTCCTTAAGCACACGACATTGACACAACAGTAAGAAATTCGGTATTTGCAATGCAGTGACATCCAGAGGCACCACTTCAGGGACAGGCTGCCCCTGTACCAGGCACCACGCATGCCTAAGGCATGGCCACTGCCCCAGAGAGCTTACAATTCATGCACAGAATGAGAAACAGGTAGACACAAAGGAAGAGAAATTGAGAGGGAAAATTAGTAGCAGTCAGCAGTCACAGCTCAACAGCTGCAGAGCTTCCATGCTCAGGCTAACGATTTTAACTTCCTTCTTTTGACATTACATTCTCCTAAGCTAGCTCATCCTAATTTTGCTGACAACCCCCTTTCCAAAGCTCAGTCCCACATGGTGTTTAGTTTGAAGTGACCCCTGCCAAAGACGACAATTTTAGTTAGGCTTTAGGCATTTCTATGCAGCCATTTATTATTGTAACTACTTGCACTGTCTCAGCTTTATCTAGGACTAAATGGCATTAATAAGCAAAAAGAGAGAACGTCACTGGTAATTCAGCCAGCGATGTCAAACTTCCCATTTGCAGACCTGATCCAAACACCATGTACGAGATGTGTGTGGCATTCAAACTCCACAGAAATACAAGCTTTTTTAGTCTGAGATTTTTAACCTTGGCTATGAAAGCTTCATCTCCCGAGATAACTAATACTTATTTGCCCAGGTCTCCCCCCATACCAGAGTTAACAGGCAGGTAAAAATAGCCAAGGCATGTAATAACAATGTCAATATTGGTTATTGCACTGCTGACTGATTTAGCAGATCAGAACAAGGAGCAGAGAAGTCCATCACAGGGGGAGGGGAGGATGGCGGGAGGAATATAGACACGGAGGGGAAAAGAGAAAAGCACAATTAAAGAAACAAGTGCCCTAGAAACACAGCAGCGGACAGAAAACACAACATACTTTTGCTTCTAATAATATTGAATCAAAGACAACACTTAAGTTCCTTTGTTGCTACTATTGGTCACACAGAGGCCACATTCTTTCCCTGATCCTTATATAAATCCACCGACATCTGTAGATTTTCCGTCAAAAGGAGCTAACAAACAGTCAAACCGATTCCCCAGCCCATAAAACATAATTAAGAACAGAACTGTGTTTCCCTATAAATAGGGCTAAGAGTAAAAGACTGCTGCTCTGAACTGTGGCTCCATATTTGACTGCTGAGATGGAGAGCTGACTTCATTCATTAATACAGTCTATTAACTCTGCTCTCCTCAATTAGTTTTTCAATAATTTTACATCTAGCAAAACAACAAGACCTCCCACAAATATTTGTCCCTATAGTTCTCAAAAGTTCTGCCAACCACTCAGCTCCTGCTTTGCTCTCAACTCACTGACCTCATCCGTTTTTCCTGTGTCATTTACACCCAAGTTTCCCAGTTATTCTTGCCATTCTACTATTGTTTCAGAAACATCTACTATAACAAGATACTCTTCTATTTCTTGGCATTCCAGTTCGCCCATTTTTATGGGCGAGCTTATTACATGGTTCTAGCTATTGCCCTTCAGGCACTAACACCTCAGACTCCAAGCCACTGTGTTAAGAAAACATACTACTTGATTATGTATGTGAAGTCATTTTCCCTAACATATAATCTACAGCTTTTACACTTACACTTCTACACACCTTGTTATCAGAAACACAGAATAAGAAAGCTCATCCTGTTCCCCCAGCCCCGAGCTCTCTTCAAACATAACACCCTTCTTTGCTGAAATTCTTCTGTACCACTAATGCCCTACTGCACCTCAGGAAGAAAACAGTTTTGGTTTCCCTTTGACACCTTAGCCGATAGCCGGTAAAACTCAGGGGAGAACACGAATGAAGTGTTCCTTCCACAGAGCATGGAAAAAACCCATGATCAGTGATGCCTGGGATATCTCCCTACCAAAGAGGAGGGGAAGCGTAACTAAGTGATTCCTCCTTCTAGCTCGGGATCACGCTATCTGGGGAGAGCGAGAATTTAATTCACTCCAGCTGACTCCCAAACAGCAAACCAAACTGTGAGTCGGGGGGGGGGGGGAGGGGGGGGGGGGGGGGAGCCCCACTCAGAAGCACTGCCGGCCCGTTTCAGCTCCATCAGCACCCCCTTGCAGAAGGGGGGCTGCAAGGGCGTTAGCCTTCCCCCACAGGGAAGCACTGCAAAACAGGCTACGCCGCTCGTGACAGTGGCCTGGAGTTTTCTAAAAAGAATTTAAGCCCACAGACTGAGGATGCTTGCTTACTCGGAAAAAAACCCAAAACATAAGCTCTTAAAGAGAGTTTTCTCTTTGTTATTCATTTCTGACAGTCTCCAATTTCTGAACTATGAACTTTGAAATTCAACCTATCCCTCCTACAACACAACCAAGACTTCATCGAATATCAGGTTCAGAAGAAGGATGCTTCAGCATTCCCTGCCATCCCCAGAACAAATGCTCAACACATCAGTCACTCTCACAGTCTGAGGTTTGCAGGAACCTCCCAAAACATCAATGCTGTTTTCTGCACCACCTGTCTGATACCGTTCTGCTACAGACCGAGCTCTTCCCAGAAAGCTGCTGCAGCGCCACAAATTTTCCACGATTTCTAGACAGGACGTTGTCCTAGGTCTCTGGATTTGCAACATAATACAAAGTACAAAAGTCACCAGAAATGTCTGCATGTCAAACACACAAAAAACAAAGCAAGCCTTCAATTTCAAACCATTTTGTTCTTATCCAACCCGCAGTCATCTTCTCCTGGGCAAATGTTTATTGTTATCACTCAAACCAGTACAGATCATTATGTGTTCCTATTGCATGTTCCAAAATTTAACTTTGCTTACCATGATATCACCATTGGTTGCTATGGAAATTGCTATACTACCATCCACCAGATTTTTTTTACCACTGAAGTATTTTGGCAGACTGTTTGCTTTTAAGTGTCAGAGTAATAAGAGAAATCATAAATGTTTATTCTCCCATCATTCTTAAAACAGTGCTTTGTAACAAAAATCTGCTAGTAGGTGATTACATGCTTGGCTTCAAACATGTGTAGCTCTGGACAGGACCGGAATCACAACTTTCTCCTTTGTTTTTTGAGAGAGAAAATAAACTACATTATGAAAACAAGCTTCAGTTTTTAAAATACTAATTTTTAAGTGGGAGGTCAAGATATGAAAAATACCTCGGGTCCCTCCAAGTTCTCTCAGTTTCCCTTTTTCACTTCCTACGTTGTTTTTTGTTTTGTTTTTTTTTTTAAACTAGTGCAAAACAAGGCCTTCAAATGAGGAAGGGAGCCCTCATTAGACTCGTCAAGAAGTCGTCTTTCTGTAAGATTATGTGTTGCAGTGATTCCATTTGTGGCTACGACTCCTACCCCGGTTTCTGTACGTTAATAATACCAGCACAGTGACACTCATTTTCACATACCGCACGCGTGAAGCTGGTGGGGTCCCTCGCTCAGGCTCCAAGCCCTGCACACCCGAAGCCAGCGGGTCCCCAGGAGGCTGACCCCCGCCTCTGACCTTGCCAACACCACCTCTCCCGACAGCTTCAGCAATTAACCACTGGCTAGGCATGAGTCACGAAAACCTGGAAACCCGCGTTCCCATTGCCCATCTTCACCAGGTCAAACACACACACCCCCCCAAAAAAAAAAAGAAAAAGCAAACTCTGATCTGTCTTACACGTGCAGAAAGCCCGATTTAACCCAGATATCGCATGAAACGACACGGTGGGACTCCAGCACGGCCGAGAGCGAGGACTCAAAAATGGACCTCTGCAATCAGAGCTGCTAGAGGGGCGGCGCGGCCAGCACCGGCGGGGCTACGGGCTATTTAAAAAACCCGAAAAACAGTGAAAAACAAACCAGGGGCAGCTGGACGCGGCCCTGCAGCCCAG